CATGTCTTTGCGAGGATGGTGAGAACCAAGGCATTCATGGGTAAGGATAAGGTTTGGGAAAAACTGGATCAGGATGGATTTACTGATAAGATTGGTAGAAAAATGTTCACCATTAGCAGCAGTAAACAACGAATATGTGGATGCCAATATTCAGTGGGAAGCACGTCAGGATTGAGAATGGTTGACGTGGCACCTGTATCAAAAAAGGCCATGACCTTGATTGGAAGGTCAAACTTAGAATGCAAGTAGAGTGTAAGTTCAACCATGGGGACTTGAACTGACACCGTGTAACAATACGGGCCAGCGGAGATGGAGAGCACAGATTGCCGCATCCAGGATCACAAAAATATTCTGGCGTTAATAGACAACCGCGGCAGATCTGTGTCGTAACGCGTCGATCTGGCCTTTTTTGGCCAGATCCGTGGCTGATCTGGCCGGAAAGGGCCAGATCTGGCCGTCGACGCCGCAGATGGAGTTTTGCGGCCACGACGGCCAGATCTAGTAGTAGATCTGGCCTTTTCGGCCAGATCCGTGACTGAAATGGCCGAAAAAGGCCCGATCTGGCCGTCGAGGCCGCAAAACTCCATCTGCTGCCTCGACGGCCAGATCTGGCCTTTTCCGACCAGATTAGCCACGGATCTGGCCGGAAAAGGCCAAATCGGCGCGTTACGACACAGATCTGACAGGTCTGTGTCGTAACACAATTTTTCGGCCAGATTTCGACTGTGGTGGCCGGAATCTGGCATGCGGGGGTGATGGGGGTGTTTTTGTTATTTTATAAATTTTCTATATATAGGGGTATTTAGTCAAATTAGCAAATTTAGAGGGTTTTTCAGAAATTTTTAAATTTATAAAAAACTAAAATATTAAACTTTTAAGGGTATTTTAGTATTTTCACTATTATCAAATGAAAATCACTAACAGAACATGATAAAAAGTATATATTTATTGTTTTAAAATTTTTTGGGTATCAACTTATTGTTTTGACAAACTTTGGGTATGTCTAAGGCGTTCTCCTTTCGAATGTAATATGAAATTGGGTGGGAACAGGAGCGTTACCCAAAAATCAACTTCAATCATTGTTCCAAGCAGACTGCAGACACGCACTGGCCACTATGTACGTTTTTTCCCGTTTGCTTCCAAAACATGAGTGGGGATTATTATTGTTTTGTCATCATCTCGGGCTTTTCGCTTCTCTAGAAATTTCTCCAGTTTTAATGCCTCCCTTTATTTATTAAAATTTAAACCTCAAAACACTTTATTTATTTAATTTTTGATATTATCATATATCATGTGATATGATCTTATCTCAACTGCAAATACCAAATGTTATGAAATTTGAAAAAGAGAAACCAATCATATACATATTAGTATAATTTCTCACCTAAATAATGGTTTAATGCTATTTTCTTCCTCACAGAGTTTCTAATTTTGACATCGTTGAAATCTTATAATATCACTATTTTTTTTTCCCTGATTATCACTCATTAAAACCCTTGTAACCCTACGCTTGTTGGCCCGTCAATCATCACAATCGAGTGATTAAGATTTATATAATCACCTATTTTAAGTTAAATTCTAATCAATTTTAACTACTAAAATTTAACATTTTACCACTAAAACACTTTTCGGTGTTCTCTTTTTAAAAATCTTAATAATCTAGATCGAGTTTGCTATTTTTTCATAGTTAAAATATAAATTTAGATAATAAAATAATATTTAAAAATCTATGAATAAAAAAATACCATAAAACTATTATTTGAGTAGAAAAAGTCGTTAATTCAGTAGAAAATATGTAAACATGTGTTACGATTTATGTGTAACACTATTAATGTCAAAAATAAAAGCACAGCGCAATTATCGTGAGAAATTGTCTAAATCAATTTGGCAAAACTAATAGCAAACAGCTTTTTTAGTTGTCGTCAATCAACGACAATAATACAAAAATCACAAAATTACCATAACAACCTTGAGACCCCCACACGTGGCCGTGGCCCCACGTAAAACCCTGACGTGGGAATGACAAGCCTGTGGGCCCATCTTAACCGACAGCCTAAAATCAAAAACATATTCTCTCATATATCTTCCACTCCCTCTTCAATAAATGTGTTTAATAATTAATCTCACTACTGTTGTGCTGCAACAACGCACCAGACACTCACCCGCCAATTCTGTCCAATCTCCGCCCGCCGGAACCATGTAAATCCCTAAAATACCCTCAGCTACGCCCGCCTCGGAATACTGAATCTTTCATCTCCGTGACGCTATCCCATTTGCCGCGCCTGAGATAATGGGCATTCTCTCCGACGATGTCGTGTTAATCCAGCTGGGAAACGACCCCGGTCAGCCCAGTATCATCACCGTTAATTGTCCCGACAAGCCCGGCCTCGGCTGCGATCTCTGTCGAATCATTCTCGAGTTCGGTCTCTGCATTATACGAGGAGGTAGGTAGACTTCTTTTGTAGGCCACACGACTTGCGCATACCCAAGATTTATCGAAACGACAAGTTGGTACCCAAAGGTTTTGAAACGACAAACAGGTACCTTCCGTCATGTGTTAGTGATTTCTATTTGTTAACAGTGAAAATACTAAAATGCCCTTGAAGTTTGATATTTTATTTTTTAAAAATTTCTAAAAAACCCTCTAAGTTTGCTAATTTAACTAAACACCCCCATATATAAAAAGTTTGTAAATAAACAAAAATACCCCCACCACCTGCGGCCAGATTCCGGCACCACCGCCGGAATCGGCCAGAAATTTGAGGAAATTGTGTGGGATTGAGCTGAACAGTTTGAAACCAGTTGTTTGGTATATCTGTGGAAGGCGGTGGAGTAATAGACAGGGTAGTGAAAAGTTTGGGTTGTTTGTATGGTTGGAAATGAGACTTGTGTTTAAGGCCTTGGGGGGTAAAAGTGAATTTAGCTTTTTTTAAATTTTTTTCTAGGAGTGTTTAATTAAATTAATAAACTTAAGAGGTCTAAATAATTACATAAAATATAATAATATTTCCTAAATAATGAAACAAACAGTTATTTTGGAAATATGATTGGGAATATGGTAGGAAATAAAGAACCAAACTGACCCTTAAAATCTCCTTGAATAATATCAGAAAAAAAGTAAATACCTTTTCCCACCTATGGTTTGCCTTATTAACATTTCCACTAAAAAAGTTTCAAAATACCACTTTTCACCCAACGTTTATATTTTATTACTATCTAAAGTCAATTATGGTGATGAAAATTATCTCCATCGTCACCATTTGAACCTATGGTCTCTTCTCTACAAACTTCTTTTACTTCGGTGCTTAATTTCTCATCGATTATCGATCATCGCAAAGTTATGATTTTTTGTTCTTAACTAATTTTCAGTGGCGAATATTCAATCAGTTACTACTATTTGATTCACTAACCTCCACTCTACAAGACCCTCTTACTCTGACTTTTGATAATTTGTTGAATGTCAACTGAGAAAATGAAACGTATTTTGGATAAAGTAGCACTAGCCTTACAAAGATGCATACAAATAGTCAATCTCCACCCTTAAAATTCATAATTGTCTCTTTCTCTCTCTTTTTCTCTTCTTTTAAGGATAGAGATTGTCTCTCTTAAAATTCATGATTATCCTTCTCTCTCTCTTTTTCTCTTCTTTTAAGGATAGAGATTGTCTCTTTATATGATTCTTTGTATGCCTCATTGTAACGCTAATATTATTCTTTTGAATATCAATAGAATATTAAAATATAAATTTAGATAGAAAAGTAGTATTTTAAAACTTTTTTAGGGGAAAAGTGTTGTTAAGGCAAACCTTGGGTCCGTTTACTCAATCAAAAATCTTAAACGTTACTAGTGAACTGAAGTGAAGTTGAAAAGCTAATGGTTTTGTGGTTTGAATGTAATATGAAATTGGGTGGGAACAGGAGCGTTACCCAAAAATCAAACCTCAATCATTGTTGCAAGCAGACTGTAGACACCCACTGTATACTTTTTTCTGGTTTCTTCCAAAACATCAATGGGGATTATTATTATTATTGTTTTGTCATCATCTTGGGCTTTTCGCTTCTCTAGAAATTTCTCCAGTTTTAATGCCTCCCTTTATTCATTAAAATTTAAACCTCAAATCACTTTATTTATTTAATTTTTGATATTAATATTATTATATATCATATGATATGATCTTATCACGACTACAAATATCAAATGTTATGAAATTTGGAAAGGGGAAACCAATCATATGCATATGAGTAGAATAGAGTAAACCATTTTTTCTCACCCAAATAATAGTTTAATGGTATTTTCTTATTTGTAGACTTTTAAAATACCACTTAATTATCTAAATTTATATTCTATTTCTGATTCCGATATCTTTGTGCCTCTACAGTACTATTATTCTTTTTTTTTATCATCATTCATTAAAACCCTTGTAACCTTACGCCTGTCGACTCCATCAATTGTCAACAATTGAGTTATTAAGATTTACGCAATCACTCATTCTAAGTCAAATTTCAATCAATTTTAACTATTAAAACCTAATATTTCACCACAAAAATACTCTTTAGTCTTCTCTTTTTAAAAACCTCAATAATCTGGATCGAGTTTATTCTTTGTTTATAGTTAAAATATAAATTTAAATAATAGAATGATATTTTATAAATTTATGAATAAAAAAATATTATTAAATCATTATTTAAGTTGTAAAAGTCGTTAATTCATTAGAAAATATGTAAACATGTGTTACGATTTATGTGTAACACTATTAATGTCAAAAATAAAAGCACAGCGCAATTATCGTGACAAATTGTCCAAATCATTTTGGCAAAACTAATAGCAAACAGCTTTTTCAACGACAATAATACAAAAAATGAAATTACCATAACAACCTTGAGACCCCCACACGTGGCCCCACGTAAAACCCTGACGTGGGAATGACAAGCCTGTGGGCCCATCTTAACCGACAGCCTAAAATCAAATTCTCCCATATCTTCCACTCCCCTCTTCTCTTACCAACGGAAGAGAAATAAATATGTTTAATCTCACTACTGTTGTGCCGCAACAACGCACGCACCAGACACTCACCCGCCAATTCTGTCCAATCTCCGCCCGCCGGAACCATGTAAATCCCTAAAAATAAAATACCCTCACCTACGCCCGCCTCGGAATACTGAATCTTTCATCTCCGTGACGCTATCCCATTGGCCGCGCCTGAGATAATGGGCATTCTCTCCGACGATGTCGTGTTAATCCAGCTGGGAAACGACCCCGGTCAGCCCAGTATCATCACCGTTAATTGTCCCGACAAGCCCGGCCTCGGCTGCGATCTCTGTCGAATCATTCTCGAGTTCGGTCTCTGCATTATACGAGGAGGTAGGTAGACTTCTTTTATGAAAAAAAAAATATATTGATTTTTTTTTTAAAATCGTTTTATTTTTTTCCGGGTGAGATTGATTTTTTTTTTTTTTTTTGGTTTTAAATGTAGATTTTTCTACTGATGGAAGGTGGTGTTATATAGTGTTGTGGGTTGAGCCCAACTCGAGTTCCTGTAGAGTTGATTGGGAAAGCTTGAAGAATCGTTTGTTATCTGTGTGCCCTTCGTGTTTGGTTTCGTATTATTTTACCCAGCCGTCCAGTAATTCCTCGCAGCCTTCTCTGTATTTGCTCAAGTATTGTTCCGTTGACCGCAAAGGATTACTTCATGGTAATTTAACGATGTTGTTTATTTTTTATTTTGTCTCAGTGTTTAGTAAAAAAATGGTCATTTTAAAATTGATATGGTCTTTCGAAAAACGAGGATATTTGATAAATAGATAGGACTGTTTTATTAACGTGGTCAGTAGTCAAGCAGTTTTAGTAATGAAATGGTATCTTACTTTTTGTATGAAATTGGACTGATATTTTGTGATTCTTGTGTAGATGTTACTAAAACTCTCTGTGAGCTTGAGTTTACAATCCAAAGAGTCAAAGTGATGACAACCCCAGATGGCAGAGTGGTGGACTTATTCTTTATCACAGATGGAATGTGAGTTATTTATTTATGCTGAGTATATAGTGCGATAGTTTGCGTTTGGAGCTATTTCTCAAGAATTTTATGTAAGAAATACTAGTTAACAATCGGTGTCTTTGATAGAGTGATGGGTCAATTGAATTTTGATTTTATGGTATTCTATTCTTTCCCTGTTGCCATGCTGTGATTATTTTGCAGTTTCTCGAAATTTCCTGGTTTCTAGATTGTAGCCGGTTGGATAACAAGCTTTTTGAACTTTCATTCTGCTTTTTTTTTTTGATATAAAGATAGTAGATTCATAAGTATGCTTCATGTTGAAGTCTATAGGCGGCAAAGTTATCTATTTCGATGTGCTGACACTTTTCAGGGAGCTTTTGCACACAAAAAAGAGACGCGATGATACTTGTGAACTTCTAATGACTGTTTTAGGCGAGTACTCTATCAGCTGTGAACTTCAGTTGGCTGGGCCTGAATATGAAAGTCTGCAGGGGTTCTCTTCCCTCCCGCCAGCAATAGCAGAAGAATTATTCTACCAGCTTCCAGACAAAGAAGACTGCTCACAAGCACTTAGCATGCAAACGATGACAGTAAACATGGCCACTATCACAGTGGATAATCATTTAAGCCCAGCTCATACCTTGCTACAAATAAAGTGTGCAGATCAAAAAGGCCTGTTTTATGACATTTTGAGGACTTCAAAGGACTTAAATATTCGGGTATTCAGTTATGAGCTTTCTTTTATGTTCAACTCTTCTTATCTAAATATATAAAGTGTCGAGTATAGGTCTCATATAATGGATTTGGTTGTACTGCACGCTTCCTGTTGTGAGGTGCTTGTATAGTTAGGAAGTTATAATTTATAGTTGGCTCATTTGGTGTGCACCTGTCCTTTGACTAGATTTAGCTAAACTTTTTGCCAACAGTTGCTTTTAGGTCCAGGGCAACAGCAGCATTGGGCTGCTTTACTGTCTCTTAATTGTGTTGATTTTTTTTATAAAGCTTGTGAGGAATCACTTCTTTGTCTATTTCTATTTTTTGTTTTATTTTTTATTTTTTGTTGAAAGTACCTTAGTACTTGCATGTGTGCTTGCAACCAGTAGTTTACCAATATACGCCTGTTGTGTTTCTCATTAGATCGCTTATGGTAGAATCTCTTCAAGTGTGAAAGGCTACCGGAATATGGATCTATTTATTCAGCAAACAGATGGGAAGAAAATTGTGGATCCCAAGCAGCAGACTGCTTTGTGTTCTCATTTGAAGGAGGAGATGCTTCCTCCCTTGCGAGTGATTGTAACCAACCGAGGCCCAGATACCGAACTCCTGGTTGCTAATCCTGTGGAACTATCTGGAAAGGGAAGGCCCCGCGTCTTTTATGATGTTACATTGGCCCTAAAGATGTTAGGAATATGTATTTTCTCAGTAAGACTCTGATTTCTTGGTCTTTTTTATATTTACTTGAGCTATTATCTCACTCTCTTTATGTCAAAATAACCTCTTTTCACTCTTATTTGTAGGCTGAAATCGGAAGACATTCAACTTCTGAACGCCAGTGGGAAGTTTATAGATTTCTTCTGGACGAAAGTCCTGAGTTACCATTAGCAAGCAAGCAAGCTAGAAATCAGATTGTGGAAAGAGTGAGAAACACATTGATGGGATGGTGACCTGTTGTGGAAAGAGTGAGAAAAACATTGATGGGATGGTGAGCTGCCTGCTGATCTATGTTAACTTATATCTGCAGAAAACCATTTCATATTACATTCAACTCCTTTTTTCTCTCACCGCTATCTCTTGGTTGTTCATCAGCCAGATTGAGTCTCTCTGTATAAAGAGTGTGTCAGTTTTGGTGGTATGGATTCAAAAAATCTCTGGTCACGCAGCCAAAAGATTTTGATGATTTGAAACTTTCCTAAGTTGAAGTTACTTGGCACTTTTGGCCTTTGTAGGCTCTGAATATTGTAACATAGTTCCATATGTGTATGTTGCTTATCCAATATCAAACTTGGTTTTGTGCATAAGATAAAAATCAGCATTCATGTTGAACATGTGTATAGTTTGGGAAAGCTTCTTGGAGATAAATCCATTTTACAACTACACATCCTTTGTTCTTTCTTGTTAGAGTTAAATTCTCTTCCCTGCCCTGTAGTTTTTATCATTGTTAATGTCTTTGCGCCTTAATCTTAATAGTACGGTACACAAATTGTCCATTTTTGTTAATATTCATGTAATGGGAACACAAAACATACGTATTCAAAGCATGAACCGCTAAAGGAGAGATATGAACTATGAAGTCCACAATAACAGAATCTGAAATAGCTTCTTTCAATTATAAAGCTGTAAAATTGAATACATCTTCACCTGATTTTTTCTACCATTTAAAGATACCTGAAGTATCCTTGGTACTGGATATAATCTTTCTCAGTACTTTTTAATATGGGTCACAAATGCATGTTTTCGGATGAAATCTTGTTTGCTAATTGATATTATATATATTTTTTTTAATTATAGTAGTAACAAATGCTGGGACTTGAGTGAGAAATAAGATTGTTAATCCTAACTTTCAACTTTGGGCTTGAATTGTGATTAATTATGCTGCAACTTCCAGTTCCAGGCAAGATAATCTGTGCAATAAATGTAAACGTCCTGGGCATTTTGCAAGGGATTGTCCAAATGTAACTGTATGCTAATGCAACAACTGGGGATTGCCGGGGTGAGAGGATTTTTTTTTTTACTTTTTTAGTTTCTACAGAAACTTTGATCTTTGAAAATCGGATTAATTTAGCCCCGTCACTGGCGCCGCCACTCGTGACTGTCTAAACGAGCCCGTATGCAATATATCAGGTCATATGGCCCGTCAATGCCCCAAATCAGGCCTGGCGCCTGAAGTTAGAGGTCATGTCGCGACAACATTTGCCATAATTGTGGGCAGACTGGCCATTTTAGCCGTGTTTGACTGATTGTGTATCAATTTTTATCAGCAACAACTGTGGTGAGAGGGGTCACCAAGCTTATGTGTGCCCATCTGCTCGGACGTATGAACACGGCCTACCTGCGGAGATATAAAACAGCTACTGGGTTGAATTAATCCATTGTGATTGCATATTTAGTCATAATATTGGTTGATTATGCATTGATTAGTTATGGTTATGGAGAATGACTTCATTTTAGTGTTCTTTTGTAAGTAATGTATACACAACATTACAACGCTTCAAAACTAGAGTTTTACTATCAATCTGCAATTTTGAATTGATTTTGCTTAAGAAGAATGAAACTATTCCAAATCACTTCCATTTCCATATTAGAGTTTTGATTTGGTGTTTGTGATCCCACCTCCAGTCTCATCAAACTCCAATTTATCCAACACTTCTCTTAAAATCACCATTCGATTCTGAGCGTACACGTGTCCATCCCACTTCCTCTTAACCAACTCCTCCCCCAATTCAACCGCAGCTCTGATAGTCTCGTCAACGCTATCATACGCCGCGTCAATAATACCCCTCTCCACCGCCTCTTTAGCTGTCAACTTAGCCGCTCTCAACAACATCTGGCGTCGAGCCATCGGCTCACCAATCTTACTCTCAAGCAAAGCAATATAAACAGCCGGGATTGTCATCCCTATATCGAGTTCACTCATGTACAAAAACCCTCGATCCTTTCTCATCAAAACGTAATCGTGGCTTAAAGCCAAAAAAACACCGGCGGCTGACACGTGGCCCGATATCGCGGCTATCGACGGCATGGGAAGGGTAATTAAATCGTGTATAAGAGATTGTAACTTCTGCGACATAAGGAGGAGATTTGATTGGATTGATTGGGCCCAGGCGAGATCAAAACCGTTGGAGAAGAACTTGCCTTGGGCGGTGGTGATTAAAGCTGACGACGAAGTGGTCGGCTCCGCTTTGACTCGGCGCAAAGCCGATTGAATTGCGTCGATCAGTGTGGGGTTTAGCCGGTGCTCTCCCGAGCCGGTAAGAGTAAGAATGTAGAGGCTACCTCGCTTCTCTAATGTACACATATTTTTTTAAATAATTATAAAAAAAATGGCTATCGATCTGACGATCTCTGAAAAAATTTCTCTATTGATCCCTCTCGAAAAGATAAGCTTGATTTATAGTCCAAAACATGTTTGACTAAACGACAAGTTGAATAGAGTTGCCGCCCTGCCGGCGTCGACTTGACAACAAAATTGAAACGTAACTCCTTTCTTGAATGAAAAATATTTTGATTTAAAAAAATACTATTTATAAATTAATAGCAGTGGTTCTACGTAACCTCTACCTGAACCTTTGGATTGTGCGTTTGTATTATTATTTTGAATATGACTTTTAAAAAAATAAGGGTTGAGTGGTTATTACGAGATATGATTTAAAAATTAATAAAAATACCTATTAGATTTGTTAACTTACTAAACATCCATATAATAAAACATTGAAAATTAACAAAAATATCATCACCTACCTATTAAATACTGGCACTTGACCACCACTGTTGAAGGGTGCTCAGAGTTACCGCATCAGCACATGATCGGTTGTGCGTCGGTATGACATTTTCTAGTTAAATCCATTGTGGATCTGGCCATAAAAGGTTAGATCTAGTCGTGTTTGGTCATCAACGACCGCTAAAGATATGGTCGTCGTTGACAACTAGTTACGGCCACAGATCTGGCTGTTAACAACCATATCTTTGGCCGTAGATCTAGCTTTTTTCGGCTAGATCCACGGTAGATTTGAATGAAAAATGCTAGATCGGTATACTATCGGTACTAGTCAGATCTAGTCGGTAGTACACCATTATATCAGATTCTAGCCACCTTTTGACAATGGTAGCCGAAATCTGGCAAATGTGGGTGGTGGGGGTGTTTTTGTTAATTTTTAAACTTTTTTCGGGGGATGTTTAGTTAAATTAACAAACCTATGTGGTTTAAAAATAATTGAATAAAATAAAATAGGATTTTCAAAATAGGGAAACAAATGTGTATTTTTCGATAAAATAGGGATATGATAGTGTAAAAATACTGAAACAAAGGCATTTTCTTATTATTAATAATTAATTAATATTTATTAAAATTATGATTAATAAATAATTATTTTTTATAGTATATTTTAACACAAAAAACTTAAATGATATATTTTTTATTTTTTATTATTATAACTCTAAAAAAATTTTGTTGTTTACTTATTCATAAGGAGATATTGTTAATAACCCAAAGCTTGATAATTCTATAAAATAGTAAACGATATATTTCCGCAATAGGGTTCAAAATCTCAAGGTAATACCTTTGATTATATTTATTTCAAATTCTTACTCTTAAACTAATATAGATAGTTATTGCTATGGGTAGTTAAAAATGGAAAGTTAAGTCGGCAAGTGAAGGGGTATAGATTTTGTAGAGGAAGTTGTGAAAGTCTAACGATGATTTCAAAAGTGATTTTGAACTTTGAAATCGGCCCAAAAAAGCTTAAAATCATTAGTTTTGATGTTGTTAACGTGAGCCATTTTTTGGTAACAAAAGTCTATCTTAGCATACTAACGTGCATCACGTTATAATAACAAGTTAAAAATATGTTAAAATAAAAGAAACAGTGTTACTTTAAATGTGAGAATCTGAAATAAATGCAAATGCAACCAGTGGTGTTATCTTGGGATTTCGCTAAAACTCGGATGTAATCCGTTGTTTTCTCTTCTATAAAATGAATAAACAATTAAACATTTATTCTCCAATTTAATTTTGGATATATTTTTGTAAGAAAAATGGAAAGTCTCCACGTACCATTCTACATCCATGTCTAAAGCAATCGTCAGTATAATTTGGTATGCTAAATAATCCGCAACAGTTTGACATTGATTTTGTTCTTGACACCATTCAAATTGACAATTAATAAACTATTAAGATTTATTTGTGTTAGATGAGATTGGAAGTTCTAACTTCTACGTGTCTTTAAATATGTCAACGTGTTAAGTCGTAGCGTTAAAATTTGATCACGAAAATTTTGATAATAATTTATGAAAAGTACGAAATTGTGTTCATCAAAGGTTGAATTGATTTACGTACTAGAGTTTGGATCCGGTGCTTGTGAACCCATCCACTGTCTCATCCGTCGCCATTTCATCCAAAACCTCTCTTAACATCACCACCCGATTCTGGGCGTACACGTGTCCATTCCACTTCGAGTTCACTCATGTACAAAAACCCTCGCTCCTTTCTCATCAAAAGTAATTTCTCATTAGATCGCTTATGGTAGAATCTCTTCAAGTGTGAAAGGCTACCGGAATATGGATCTATTTATTCAGCAAACAGATGGGAAGAAAATTGTGGATCCCAAGCAGCAGACTGCTTTGTGTTCTCATTTGAAGGAGGAGATGCTTCCTCCCTTGCGAGTGATTGTAACCAACCGAGGCCCAGATACCGAACTCCTGGTTGCTAATCCTGTGGAACTATCTGGAAAGGGAAGGCCCCGCGTCTTTTATGATGTTACATTGGCCCTAAAGATGTTAGGAATATGTATTTTCTCAGTAAGACTCTGATTTCTTGGTCTTTTTTATATTTACTTGAGCTATTATCTCACTCTCTTTATGTCAAAATAACCTCTGTTCACTCTTATTTGTAGGCTGAAATCGGAAGACATTCAACTTCTGAACGCCAGTGGGAAGTTTATAGATTTCTTCTGGACGAAAGTCCTGAGTTACCATTAGCAAGCAAGCAAGCTAGAAATCAGATTGTGGAAAGAGTGAGAAACACATTGATGGGATGGTGACCTGTTGTGGAAAGAGTGAGAAAAACATTGATGGGATGGTGAGCTGCCTGCTGATCTATGTTAACTTATATCTGCAGAAAACCATTTCATATTACATTCAACTCCTTTTTTCTCTCACCGCTATCTCTTGGTTGTTCATCAGCCAGATTGAGTCTCTCTGTATAAAGAGTGTGTCAGTTTTGGTGGTATGGATTCAAAAAATCTCTGGTCACGCAGCCAAAAGATTTTGATGATTTGAAACTTTCCTAAGTTGAAGTTACTTGGCACTTTTGGCCTTTGTAGGCTCTGAATATTGTAACATAGTTCCATATGTGTATGTTGCTTATCCAATATCAAACTTGGTTTTGTGCATAAGATAAAAATCAGCATTCATGTTGAACATGTGTATAGTTTGGGAAAGCTTCTTGGAGATAAATCCATTTTACAACTACACATCCTTTGTTCTTTCTTGTTAGAGTTAAATTCTCTTCCCTGCCCTGTAGTTTTTATCATTGTTAATGTCTTTGCGCCTTAATCTTAATAGTACGGTACACAAATTGTCCATTTTTGTTAATATTCATGTAATGGGAACACAAAACATACGTATTCAAAGCATGAACCGCTAAAGGAGAGATATGAACTATGAAGTCCACAATAACAGAATCTGAAATAGCTTCTTTCAATTATAAAGCTGTAAAATTGAATACATCTTCACCTGATTTTTTCTACCATTTAAAGATACCTGAAGTATCCTTGGTACTGGATATAATCTTTCTCAGTACTTTTTAATATGGGTCACAAATGCATGTTTTCGGATGAAATCTTGTTTGCTAATTGATATTATATATATTTTTTTTAATTATAGTAGTAACAAATGCTGGGACTTGAGTGAGAAATAAGATTGTTAATCCTAACTTTCAACTTTGGGCTTGAATTGTGATTAATTATGCTGCAACTTCCAGTTCCAGGCAAGATAATCTGTGCAATAAATGTAAACGTCCTGGGCATTTTGCAAGGGATTGTCCAAATGTAACTGTATGCTAATGCAACAACTGGGGATTGCCGGGGTGAGAGGATTTTTTTTTTTACTTTTTTAGTTTCTACAGAAACTTTGATCTTTGAAAATCGGATTAATTTAGCCCCGTCACTGGCGCCGCCACTCGTGACTGTCTAAACGAGCCCGTATGCAATATATCAGGTCATATGGCCCGTCAATGCCCCAAATCAGGCCTGGCGCCTGAAGTTAGAGGTCATGTCGCGACAACATTTGCCATAATTGTGGGCAGACTGGCCATTTTAGCCGTGTTTGACTGATTGTGTATCAATTTTTATCAGCAACAACTGTGGTGAGAGGGGTCACCAAGCTTATGTGTGCCCATCTGCTCGGACGTATGAACACGGCCTACCTGCGGAGATATAAAACAGCTACTGGGTTGAATTAATCCATTGTGATTGCATATTTAGTCATAATATTGGTTGATTATGCATTGATTAGTTATGGTTATGGAGAATGACTTCATTTTAGTGTTCTTTTGTAAGTAATGTATACACAACATTACAACGCTTCAAAACTAGAGTTTTACTATCAATCTGCAATTTTGTATTGATTTTGCTTAAGTAGTATGAAACTATTCCAAATCACTTCCTTTTCCATATTAGAGTTTTGATTTGGTGTTTGTGATCCCACCTCCAGTCTCATCAAACTCCAACTTATCCAACACCTCTCTTAAAATCACCATTCGATTCTGAGCGTACACGTGTCCATCCCACTTCCTCTTAACCAACTCATCCCCCAATTCAACCGCAGCTCTGATAGTCTCGTCAACGCTATCATACGCCGCGTCAATAATACCCCTCTCCACCGCCTCTTTAGCCGTCAACTTAGCCGCTCCCAACAACATCTGGCGTCGAGCCATCGGCTCACCAATCTTACTCTCAATCAAAGCAATATAAACAGCCGGGATTGTTATCCCTATATCGAGTTCACTCATGTACAAAAACCCTCGATCCTTTCTCATCAAAACGTAATCGTGGCTTAAAGCCAAAAACACACCGGCGGCTGACACGTGGCCCGATATGGCGGCTATTGTCGGCATGGGAAGGGTAATTAAATCGTGTATAAGAGATTGTGACTTCTGCGACATAAGGAGGAGATCTGATTGGATTGATTGGGCCCAGGCGAGATCAAAACCGTTGGAGAAGAACTTGCCTTGGGCGGTGGTGATTAAAGCTGACGACGAAGTGGTCGGCTCCGCTTTGACTCGGCGCAAAGCCGATTGAATTGCGTCGATCAGTGTGGGGTTTAGCCGGTGCTCTCCCGGGCCGGTAAGAGTAAGAATGTAGAGGCTACCTCGCTTCTCTAATGTACACATATTTTTTTTAATAATTATAAAAAAAAATTGGCTATCGATCTGACGATCTCTGAAAAAATTTCTCTGTTGATCCCTCTCGAAAAGATAAGCTTGATTTATAGTCCAAAACATGTTTGAGTAAACCAATAGTTGTATAGAGTTGCCAGCTGCCGGTGTCAAACTTTGACAACAAATTTGAAACGTAACTCCTTTCCTTTAAAAAATACTATTTATAAATTAATAGCAATGGTTCTACCTAGGGGTGCGTACGAGCCAAGCCGAGCCAAATAGTGGCTGGCTTGAGCTCGGCTCAGATGTATTGGTAGGAGGCAAGCTCGAGCTCAAGCTTGGCTCGTCTAAGAAAAGCTGAGAATTTCTCTTAAGCAATGCACGTAAACACGTTCATTCTCTACAACTTCTCCCTTTGGCTCCTGAGGAAATATAAAGAAAACTGTAAAGGATTCTTGAACTTTCTCTATTTTTTCCTTCCACTTTCTCGGTAAACAAACAGCACTTTAATTGAGAAAATCATTGACCAATCCGGTTCTTGAACTTCGAAATTCCATGACCAGTTTTATCGCTATTATGGTGAGATCCTCTTGGATTCTGTCGATTCTTTGAACTCAAGAAACGTTTCAGCCTCACCGACGGTATGGTTGGAGCCACAATCTCGTAGTTAGGACAACTCGTCGGTAGTGACACAAGCCGTAGTGATGATTGTCAGCGTAATCCTCTTAATCATCCTTAGAATCGAACCTAGAAACAAGAATCCCGTTGAGTCCATGCACCGCTACACCAGTCCCGAAGAAAAGATTCGGAACTGAAAGCCTCACTCCGTCAACCGTAACAGAATGATGCCTTTGGGGAAAAGCGTGTAGCTCGAGTTTCTCCGAACTTCGTGAGTAGTTTGAATCGAGCCCGAAAAGCTAGACGTTTTTCAAGAGCTTGAAGATGAGCTCGAACTTGTAAATTACTCGATCTTTGACGAGTCGAGCCTAAGTTCATCACTAGTCGATCCCCAGTAGCTCACGAGCTACTCGGTTCAACTGCACCCCTAGTTCTACTTGACCCTTTAGATTTAATAAAATAATAAAATCCTTCATGAAAATTAAAAAATGGGTGTGTTTGTTTTATTATTTTGGATATAATTTTTGAAAAAGTAAAAGTTAAGTGGTTATTACGAGGTATGATTTAAAAATTAACAAAAATACCCGCTAGGTTTGTTAACTTACTAAACACCCCTGTAATAAAACATTAAAAATTAACAAAAACATTCTTACCTACCCATTAAATATCGACACCCGACCACCACCGTCAGAGGGTGCCCGGAGTCGTCGTATCGACGCACGACTGGCTGAATCTGGCCAGTTGTGCGCCGATATGACATTTTTCAGCTAAATTTACCGTGAATCTACCCAGAAAATGCTAGATCTAGTCGCGTTTGCTCATCAACGACTGTAAAAAATATGACCATCATTGACGACTAGCTATGACCAAAGATCTAACTGTTAACAACCATATCTTTGGCCATAGATCTACCATTTTCCTGTCAGAACCACGGTGGATTTGGTCAGAAAATGCTAGATCGGCGCACTACCAGTCAGATCCAGTCGGTAGTACGCCATTATATCAGATTCCGACCATCTTTTGGTGGTGGTGGCCAAAATCTAGCAAATGTGGGTGGGGGGTGTTTTTGTTAATTTCTAAACTTTTTTTTAGGGGGTGTTTAGTTAAATTAACAAACCTAGGTGCTTTAAAAATAATTGAATAAAATAAAATAGGATTTTCATAATAGAGAAACAAATGTGTATTTTGGGTAGAATAGGGATATGACAGTGCAAAAATACTGAAACAAATGCATTTTCTTATTATTAATAATTACTTAATATTTATTAAACTTATGATTAATAAATAATTATTTTTTATAGTATATTTTAACACAAAAAAAAAAAAAGATATATTTTTTATTATTATAACTCTAAAAAACTTTTGTTGTTTACTTATTCATAAGGAGATATTGTTATTAACCCAAAGCTTGATAATTATATAAAATAGTAAACAATATATTCCCGCACAAAGGTGCGAAATCTCAAGGTGATACCTCTGATTATATTTATTCTCATTCTCATTCTTAAACTAATATCGTTAGTTATTATTATAGGTAGTCGAAAATGGTAAGTTAGGTTGGTGAGTAAAAGTATGAATTTTGTAGAAGAAGTTGTGGGAGTCTAAAGATGACATAGGAAGTGATTTTGAACTTCGAAATCAGCACACAAAAGCTTAAAATCGTTGGCTTGGATGTTGTTAACGTGAGCTATTTTTTGATAACAAAAGTCTATCTTAGCGTACTAACGTGCATCACGCTACAGTGACAAGTTAAAAATCTGTTAAAATAAAAAAAACAACGTTACTTTAAAGGTGAGAATTTGGAATAAATGCATCCAATGGTGTTATCTTGGGATTTCACTAAACCTCGGGTGGAATATGTTGTTTTCTCTTCTATAAAATGACTAAACAATTAAACATTTATTCTCCAATTTAACTTTGGATATATTTTTGCAAGAAAAATGGAAAGTCTCCACGTACCATTCTACATCCATGTCTAAAGCAATCGTCAGTATAATTTGGTATGCTAAATAATCCGCAACAGTTTTACATTGATTTTGTTCTTGACACCATTCAAATTGACAATTAATAAACTATTAATATTTATTTGTGTTTGATGAGATTGGAAGTTCTAACTTCTACGTGTCTTTAAATATGTCAACGTGTTAAGTCGTAGCGTTAAAATTTGATCACGAAAATTTTGATAATAATTTATGAAAAGTACGAAATTGTGTTCATCAAAGGTTGAATTGATTTACGTACTAGAGTTTGGATCCGGTGCTTGTGAACCCATCCACTGTCTCATCCGTCGCCATTTCATCCAAAACCTCTCTTAACATCACCACCCGATTCTGGGCGTACACGTGTCCATTCCACTTCTTATTAACTAACTCCTCCCCCAAGTCAACCGCAGCCCTGACCGTCTCCTCTGCGCTGTCATATGCCGCGTCGATAATTCCTTTCTCCACCGCCTCCGTAGCCGTCAACTTAGCCGTTCTCAACACCATTTCGGGTCGAGCCATCGGCTTACCGACCTTACTCTTAATAATTGCCATAAACCAAGCTGGAATCTTTAGCCCAATATCGAGCTCACTCATGTACAAAAATCCTCGATCTTTTCTCATCAAAACGTAGTCGTGACTCAAAGCCAAAATCAAGCCGGCGGCTGACGCGTGTCCCGAGATGGCGGCTATCGTCGGCATTGGAAGCGAAATCAAATCGGAGATGAGAGAACGGAGCTTCAACGACATGAGCTGGAAATTCGATTGGATTGATTGGGCCCACGCGAGATCGTAACCGTTGGAGAAGAACTTGCCTTGGGCGGTAGTGATGAGAGCCGATGACGAGGTGGTGGGGTCCAGTTTGATTCGACGCACAGTGGATTGAATCGAATCGATCATTGCGGGGCTGAGCCGGTGCTCGCCTGGGCCGGCTAGAGTTAGAATGTAGACACTTCCTCGCTTCTCTAGCGTACACATTTTCTCTTTTTCTCGTTAAAAAAGAAAGTTGATTAAAATTTATCAAACCAGAACACACTTTGATCAAACGAACAAAACGTTTCAAAGAGAAGGCCGGCTAATCGTGATGTGATTGTCGTTATCTGACCAGGCTGAGGCTGAGCTTAAGAAACCGTTTGGCTTGTATTGGGAGTTGGGACACTTGGGACGGACGGTCGGGTCGGATCATGTTGGGTCAAATCGAGAGGATCAATATTGTTTTATTATGTTCATGTTTGGCTGTGAGCAATTAGAGCAAATAAGGTGTGACAATAATTATTGCAAATGAAGCTTAATTCTTAATATTGTTGTCGTGAATGTTTTACAGCTTTTTTTTAAAAATATATTATCTAAAATATCGAAGTCTAAAAATTTCATGAACTATTATATGAAAAGATAAATTACAAATCATCCCAGAAATTTACTCAAAATAATAAATGTACCCCGTTAAGGACAAATTTAATATTATAAGAAAAGAGGGGTTTTTATGAAAATTTACTGTATAAAATAATAAAGAGAGAAATTTCTTTGATAGTTGATACTTGCACAGTTGCACTGTCACACTTATAATTTCCTCAGTGAAAGTGACAAGATTTAGCGGGTGCCAGCTAATTATACCCTCATAAAAGTCCGCATATATTACCGTAATTCAAGAACAATCAGCAAAGAAAAATTCCCAATTCCACATCACAATCTCCTCTCTCCCTCTTTTCAATTTCATAATTTCATTATATTCCTTCTCCAAATGTAGATTACCAGAACACACACCATAACCTCAAGTTCAACACTCACTCACTCAAACCTAATAATCATAACAACAATAATTATAATCTCACTTGCAGTTGCACAGAAATTCGTTGCGCTCACTTCACTTACTCATGTCCTCTAATTACAGTCCGGGGCGGAGCCCGGGGAGCAACCGGCTACAGCAACTCGGATTCGGTGGTGGCTTTGGTGGGGTCTCCAGATTGAGATCTTCATCAATGAAGAAGCCGCCCGAGCCTCTGCGCCGCGCCGTCGCTGATTGTTTGTCCTCCTCGTCTACAGCCGCCGCGCCTACCTTGCTCCACCCTGGCAGTCCCTCTGGTGTCGTTTTTGAGGCGTCCAGGACTCTTCGGGTGAGCGTTTTGGTCAATTTTGTTTGGATCTCGTGGTTTGGATTTGAATTTGAAGAAAGGAGCGATTTATTTTTTTTTTTTTTTTTTTAATTCAAATTGTGAATAACTGAGCTGAATGAGCTAAAGTGATGGTGCAGTTTTGGCTTAATTTGGTTTAGTTAATCAATTTATTAGAAAATTAACATGGAAATGAGGTTTAGGAATAGAATACTATGTTCTATGTTTGTTGAATAAAACTCTACCACATTTCTCATTTTAAAAACTAACGATTATGTAGTTGAAAAAGATAACAAATGCATATATTCCATAATTTTGTTGAACATCTTCAATCCAATACTGTTCTGTGCTCTTTTTAGTGAGATTTGTGATACATTATGTAATTCCTGTTCCAACGTTTGAGGTTGGGATTCTTCGTTAGTTACTAGCTAGTTTTGAATGTAAAGAAAGCCTTCCGTGATCCACCAATCCAATAAAATCTCACAATATTTTCACTCACTTTGAAAAACTACTATTATGCTAGCTGTTAGGTAGGGGAAAAACTGAACACGTATGTGGTGGAGTTTTATTGGGGTGGCATATAGACGATTATGCAGTCTCACGTTAGACTTTTCCATGAACTTGATGTGTTTTTTTCTTTGTTTGCCTAATGCTGATTAATTATTTGAATGATTATACCTCATGTAAGTCTAAGCATAATTAGTTCTTGTATCTATTGTTTTTTCTTTTTCTGGTTTAAGGGAAGAATTTAACATAGAACTATATCTTCTCTTGCATTCTTAAGTTTACCATTTAAATTTGGCAATTGAAGTTGGCATGTGCAGTATGCTGTCACATGACACTTATGTTAAATTGCCACATCATCTGGTCAACCACTCCTATAGAACTCGAGTACATACAGCAAGTATCTTTATAGTTTCTTTTGCCCATGTAGTGACTCATTATTAGAGGTCAAATTAATTGATTTGGCATACACTGGCTGAGAGTCTTTTGTATGTGCTGAATGTTTATTTTCCTTCTCAAGTTGTAACTATTAATATCATGGTTGGTGTCTAAGTTGATGCATTATTGTATAAACGTACACTTGCCCTTTATTAAAATATTGGAAACAAGGAGAAAAGATAAAGGAATATTCAAGCAATGCTAAAGTTTAATATTAAAATAATAATAATAATAATCTATTCCTTTTGTGTTGTTACTAATGGCCTAGTAATTCCTTGAGTTATCGTTCTATTGCTGAATTTGCATTTATATCGTTAGAACATAGTTGATGGGAAAGAAAATCTCATGTTTGAACCTTAATGACAGGACTATTTGGCAACCCCTGGAACAACTGACATGGCTTACTGTGTGATTATAGAGCATACAATTGCAGAGAGGGAGCGGAGGTAACTGTACATACAATTATTATTGATGGTGGTAATGTTGTGATTATCGTGGTGTTAGTATTGTTTTCTTATATTTTTAACACTTTCCAATTTGTTTGTGTTGCTATAGGACACTAGGATTTTTAGTTTAATACTTACCATTTCTTGTAATCTTTGATGGAAAATGATATTAATAAAAATCAGTGTAGCCTTTGATGGACTGGCCCCTTCCATTTTGAAAAAAAATGGTCTAGCTGGTAAAAAGCTTGTGATGGAGAAAAAAGAGAGTAAAAGATATTGCTATTATGTTTTGAGTTTGTGATACATAGTATGCAATGAATTGTCTGCTAGTTATCTCTGTAAGTATATTTTGAACAGTTATGTTTGTGGTAACTCTTTTCCTGATAATTGCACTTCAATTTGTAACAGCCCAGCAGTAGTTGCAAGGTGTGTGGCACTTTTGAAACGATACCTTCTAAGGTTCGTTATTCCGAGCATAAACATGTTTTCTTTATTAGCTTTTGTTGATTGTGATTGTCCGAGTATCAAATGGTAAACTCATTTGATTTGTGAACTACAGTTGACATTCTAGCATTGTATATAACAGCCTTCCAACTTTTTGCTGTTTTGCTCAAAGTTTGAACCTGCTATTGACATCTTCCGGTCCATGATCTTCTGGATCATTATTATAATAGCTTCCATAGAATAGTAGGGTTGTCTTGTGGGACAGAGTTATATTCTTGCTTCTGTAGAGTTATTTCCAGGTCAATATTCTTTGGATTTATTTGGATTTTGGTCTAAAATAGGGCAAGTAGATCCTTATGTGTTACTGCTCCAAAACTTAGGAGTATTTTCGCATTCAACTTTGTTTGTAATTAGGGAAGACAAAGACCATGTAATTTTGGTTGGTACTAGTGTCTGCTTTTCAAGTTGTGTTTTGGTTTCCATTTGTTGTTCCACCATGAAATCCTTCATTTAGATTACAGTCAGATGACGGCCTATTCAACCTAGCTTCTCAATATTTTGGCATATAGGGAGAAAACATTGATTTAATCCATGAATTGTCTCCTTATTGGTTACTCATTTAGCCATTTTGACCTGTGTTATAGAAGAAGATTTTGTCTTAAAGAAATTTGAGGTTTGTGATTCCTCATCGGTTCAATACAATAAAAAATTCTAGGTTTGTGAGGTCTCTAGAATTTATGATAGCCTGATGGAATTTTCCATCATAGAATTTCTGTCAATAAATTAGCCATCTTTATGAGTTTATTTCTCTTAATTTCTGGAGTTACATCATTCTACTGCTGCAGATATAAGCCTGGTGAGGAGACTTTGTTGCAGATAGATCGCTTTTGTTTGAACACAATTGCCGAGTGTGATATTAATCCAAATCGAAGAGTGTCTCCATGGTCACGATCTTTAACCCAACAATCTGGTGCATCAACAGTATCTGCAAATGCTTCTCCTTCGTTGCCTGTTTCTAGTTTTGCTTCTGGAGCACTGGTAAAATCTTTGAATTATGTCCGTTCCCTAGTGGTTCAACATATTCCAAAGCGGTCATTCCAACCAGCTGCTTTTGCTGGAGCTCCCCCTGCATCAAGACAATCCCTTCCAACATTGTCGTCACTGTTGAGTAGATCCTTCAATTCCCAAATAAGCCCTGCAAATGTTGTAGAATCTTCGGAGAACAAAGATTCGACAACTTTATCTGTTTCCAATCTATCCAATATTGAAGAAGTTGATGGAATGGAAGATCTTGAATATATTGCAAGTGATGTTCTAAAATGGCGCTGGCTAGAAGAACATCAGTCATCATCTATGTCAACAGAAAGGTAGTTGATTTTTTCACGTATCTTGAGTTTGCGTGTTTATTTCTTTTCTTTCTTTCTTCCTTTTTTTTTTTTTGCTATAGATTTTTCCTTCTGTTATATTTTTCTTCAAATAATAACTTTGTTGCTTGACATATATTTTTTTTATTCAATATAGTGATCGTGCCATAACTCTTCAAGAAATGAGTACACATACTTTCGTAGAAGTAGGTGCTGCTGCTCTCCTTGTAGGAGACATGGAAGCTAAAATGAAGGGCCAACCTTGGAAATATTTTGGTACCAGAGACATGCCTTATCTTGACCAACTGCTGCAACCTTCTTCAGTAACAACTGTAACAAATTCAGCTTCTGCTCTGTCTCACTTGAGAGCAATAACGGCATCTAAGCGGACTAAAGCCGGACCTCGCCAGATTTGGCATGTGCTTCTCTCTCAAATCACTGTTTTGCTATATTTTTGGAAGTGAAGCTACTCGGTGGAGTCTTGTTTCAAATGATTTTCAGATGTCGCAAAATTTATGGAGAACTTAATTTTGCATAGTTGAAAACCAACTTTGTCTACAATAAGCTGAATGGATTACTGAGCATTGTACTTCCTGTTTTGCAGGGAGGATTCTCCTGTGAACACATTCCGTCCACGTGCTCGTCCACTTTTTCAATATCGTCACTACAGGTACTCAACAAGAGATCCAATTCTTGCCCCAAAATTCTTTATATGTTATGTATGGCTACCAGGTATACATATGTTGTGCTTAAATTTTGACTTATTGGTCACTGGAATTGGTTTTGCTTTATGTTTCAGTGACATGACTACGTGGTTGATATTACAGACATATTTTTTATTTCTTTTCCCTATGTCTTCAAGGACCTTTCTTTCTTCCTTTATTAGTATTTCTTGTGTTCGATAGATGTATAAATCTTTTGAACTTGTGGCTGAACTATGATCTTTTTTTTTTTTGTGAAATAATGGCCTTTATATTTTTAATGTTCAATTTGACAATTTGACGACAACAGCAGCTCTGTATTATATCTTTCCCCTCCTCCCTTACGAATTTAAATCTGTTTTTAGTTTTTGCATCAACTCTAAGACCTAAGTTCCACTTTTCATGTGGGTGGAAGAGTATTAAATATGAACTGTCATTATATTCCCATAGTCTCTGATGAGTTAGTGTAGTTCTAATGGCTTGTCACGAGTTCAAATTTCTAATTAGTTCTACTGCTTTATGAAATGGAAGTTTAATTCTTTAATTTGCATACTATCTTATTTCATCAAATTATTTTATGTGAATCAGTGAACAACAACCTTTGCGATTGAATCCTGCCGAGGTGTGTGAAGTTATTGCTGCAGTTTGCTCTGAGACATCTTCACCAAATGCTAATTCCATGACAGTATCATCTAGATTAAGCAACAACAGAGGAAAGCCGTTGATAGATGTGGCTGTTAGCGTGCTTATTAAACTTGTTATCGACATGTATGTTTCAATGCTATTTTTGCTAGTATTATATTGGTACATTGTTTTGTGTTGTATGCTTCATGTCTTCTCTCTCTCGCTTCACAAACACCAATAAAAATATGCACACTCATGATTGTGTCTGGGTTGACTTGATATACTGATTTCATACACATCCGGTAATATATGTACAAACTTTATTGTGAACATCATCCATATGCTGAATTGAGATTCATCTGACTTGAAATGGCTGGTTTCTTGTGAAAGAGTTCCGTTGAATGGTCTTTTATGATGTTCTGTTCGAGCAAGAGCATATTGGATACTTTAGACTTTGGATAACACTGTTTTTTACCTAGTGTCCCAATTGAATATTAAACTACTTCAAAATGTGGTGGATATTTCTGATTTATCTTAAAATGGGTATCTACCACTTTTCATCCTTAAAATTAGTTGATATTCTGGAGATAAGGATTATTAGATAATGCTAATGTGCTGTATTTCTGTAAATAACTAAAGTCGATATTCAAGACAATGAACATTTTTTTTTTTTTTTGGGTTCAATGGGTTTGTGGACCTCGAAAGCTACAGAATAAAGGGCCAAGAACCTAATCCTTTTTCTAACTTGTATGATAATTTGGTTACTGGTTCTGCTTGCCAAGGAAAAGAAAATAGGGTTTCACATGTCCGAGGTTGAATGAACCTGAACTTTAACTATCTACTTGTAATTCAATTTCTTATTACTGGCATATAATTTCTTGTACGTATAAGATCAGTAAATTTGCTGTTGTATAGGTATGTTTTGGGTTCTGGGACTGCGGCTCCTCTCACTCTGTCAATGCTTCAGGTGCTGTATCAGTTAGATATTGATTTTTCATGATGAGAACCTGGTGAAAGCTTCTTATTCTTAGGGATTATTTTTCAGGAAATGCTTAGTTCTCCAAGAACAGCTTGTAGAGTTCGTGCTTTTGATTTAGTTCTGAACCTTGGGGTCCATGCTCACTTGTTGGAGCCAATGATGACTGATGATACTTCTACAATTGAAGACGAGTATTCTGAAGACTCTTTTTTTGAGAATGAAGACCAGCTTATGTCACAAGGGAAGAGAAAAACCGATTCTATTAAAAAGTCCAGTTCATCAGCTATTGATAATTTTGAGTCTTGGATTTTGAACATTTTATATGAGATACTCCTCCTTCTTGTTCAGGTACAACTTATCTATCAACATTTGCCTTTTCAGTTAGCATTCATTATTCAAGTAAATTTCAATGGTGTTGATATAATTTTCTTTTCCTTATTTTTGTTCTTAAACCATGGGGAATTTTTTAAATGATTGAAGGAACTAATAATATTTAAGTGTACAATGTCTTTACATCATTTTCTATCTAGTTATGCAACATGTTATGACCTTTCTAGTTGACATTGGAACTACGTTTATTGGGAAACACCTTGGTACCTATTGCTTTCGTTGTGAGAAGCTTCATAAATTGTTAGAATTATGCTTTAAAGGTTTTAAAGGAGCAGCAAGTTGCCAATGGCTTCATGGCACAGTTGCACTAATGGCTTCATGGCACAGTTGCACTAATGGCTTCCAAGGAGTGGGTCTGAGGGGTGGTTTTTAGAGTTGCTTTCTACTGATGGAAGCACTGATCACATGATTATTTGATCCTTTAAGATTTTGAAATTGGCTTCAGACAATGTGCTTTTCTGCTTCTGGTACTTAAGAATTTCAATTTGTAGTTATTGGACACAGTTGTTACTCAGAAATGGTGATTTTGATAAATTAATTAATTGGAAATAGCAACTTGCAAATGGATGTTTGTTTACAGTGAATTATTTGCAAAACTATCTAGGAGTTGAAATCAGAACTCATAAGGGCAACAAGATGTAGAATTCTGTTCCAGCACCAGGAATGAACTTAAACTAGAAACAAATATATGAGTTGGTGGCATGTACATATGGTTATAGGATCTGGAAAACATACATATATAATCAATTAATTTATACTGCAAGACCTTCCCACTATGGTTTTGCCTTCATTAACCCCCTTGTTGGTATTGCACTGTATTTGTTGCTCTCAATAATCTCATGCCTTCAATGTTCTCTGCAGATTGAAGAGAAGGAAGAATCTGTCTGGGCATCTGCTCTAAGCTGTTTGCTTTATTTTGTCTGTGACAGGGGCAAAATTTGGAGAAATCGATTAAACGGTCTTGACATAAGGGTGAGTTGATTTTCCTTCTTGGACTCACTTTTTTATTAAGTTATCATGGAATGCAACTTCTACTACATAGCTCTGTGTGGTGAATTTTTTTAATTGATGAGATTTGATCTAGTTGTCAATATTTAATTCTTGATGACAATTATATTTATTAGTTAGGGAATTGATATATTTTCCACTATGTCTATCCTCAGGTTATTAAGGCACTTCTAGAGACTTGCAGGAAGAATTCTTGGGCAGAAGTAGTTCATTGCAAACTTATTTGTTTATTAACAAACATGCTGTACAATGTTCCTGATGGACCTGCTAAGGGTGGCTCAAGTACTCCAAGTTTTCTTGTAGACCAGCTTGACCTGATTGGTGGAATTGAGTTTATTTTCTTGGAGGTATGCAAATTATATTATAGCATCAGAATTAAGGATTGAGAGAATCTTAATAGCTTGAATAAATGCATATAAAGAAATAAGGGTTCAATACGGTAACCTTGTAAGGAAATGGCTTGACCAGATTGGTGGAATTGAGTATATTTTCTTGGAGTATGAAAATTATTTGTTATAGTATCAGCATTGAAGAGAAAGAAAATCTTGATAGCTTGAATAAATGCTTATAAAGAAATAAGGTTTAATACATATATATGATGCCAAAGCAAAAGCAAAAGGACTTCGTATTTTGTTGGAGTCATAGAACTTTGAGGACTAAATTCCTTCATTCTGTTGTAAAATTTCAGCAAACCTTTCGTGGACTTCAGTCTCTGTTGGGGAATTATGGTTAATTTGATAGATTGTTTTGAATGTTTGGTGCGGTGGTTTATTGTGCATTGTAAACTATTGAACCTTTCTCTAGTTTGTATATATATCTTAAGTACATTAAAACATATTCAACATGTTACTCTTTATTGAATTTTATGATGACACATCCATTTTCAAAGTTGTAATGTTCGTTATATTTTTATTACCAAGATTCATCTCTAAGTTCAATTAAAAGCCTAGCTGTATTAACAATATCTTTTCTTCTTGCTCCTTGTCATTGCAGTATGCGCTGGCTAACTCAAGGGAAGAAAGGCGGAATCTATATGTGGTGCTTTTTGACTATGTGTTGTATCAAATAAATAACACGTGTATAGCTGCTGGAGTTTCCGAATATACTGATGATGAGATTCAACCCGTTGCTTCCCTGCTTGGTCTTGCAGATGCACCTGAAGCTTTTTATATCTCTGTTAAACTTGGGGTAGAAGGCATTGGGGGGCTTTTGAGAAGATCTATTGCGGTTGCATTGTCTAGATATCCTAACAGTGAGAGACTTAATATGGTAATGTCTTGGAATTGTGTTTGGGAATGTGAGAACATGTGCATCTGTGTGGTGTTTTTAGTATTGACTTGGGAGGAAATATGTGCATTTGCTTTTTACACAAAAAACACATATAACCCGTTAAGGACATCTACTTTTTTCAGTTTCTGTTTTGATTTTTGTTTGGCGTACATGATTTTTTTTAATGTACTTCAATTTATTAAATTCATTTTTGGATTTAGCATTTGGTTGCCAATTGAGCTTTATATACACATTAATTTCAAGTCAGTACTGCTGTATTCTGATTTTCTTTTTTTATCTTTGCAGCTGTTGGAGAATGTGGCAGAGAAATTTGATATAATAATTAGTTCATTTACTCATTTAGATAAAGAGTTTTCCCATCTGCAACAGATAACTAAAACTTTCAAGTTTATGGAAAGCTTCGAGGATGTGAGAAATGGTGTTTTCATGAAAGTAAAGCTCTCATGGGCCACTTTACATTCTCTTCTTCATTCAGAAAGAATTGCTTATCGTCAGAATGGGCATATATGGTTAGGTGATTTGCTTATTGCAGAAATTAGTGAGGAACGGGGGGCAAGTGTATGGTCAAATATTAAAAACTTGCAACGTAAAATTGCCCATGCTGGTTGTCATGATTCCTCTGTTGCTTCAGATGTGCCTTTGTCCATTTGGCTTATGTGTGGGCTCCTGAAGTCAAGAAACAATCTAATCAGATGGGGCTTCCTAAATATTCTAGAAAGACTTCTTATGCGATGTAAGTTTTTGTTGGATGAGAAGGAGCAACATCCAATGAGTGATGTTGCTAATGAACACGAAGATAGCCGACTTGAAAAAGCAAATGCTGTGATTGATATCATGAGTAGTGCTTTGTCTTTGGTTGCTCAAATTAATGAAACAGACCGCATCAACATCTTGAAGGTATGTTCTCAGACAACTGATTAACCATTTAAAGGACATCAATTATTATTTCCAGATCATGATGCAACCATTTATTATAATTTCATGGGTAGAATATACTATTTGGAGGACACTCTAAATAGTGTAGTCATGTTTAATCTCACACATTTACTCCCCAAAAGGGTTTGTAGAAAGGTTTACAGACTGAATGGTACCATATGTCCCCATCCTTTTTTGCGTTAAACTTATGATCTATTGGATAACCACCAACCTTACTAGTATCTTTTTGCTGTTTCTAAACAGATGTGTGACATTCTGTTCTCTCAATTGTGCCTCAAAGTTTTCCCTGCAGCTGCAAAGGCATTTGGAGATGGAATGCATCAGAGTAAAGTTCTTGGCGCTGTAGATGAGAATAAAAAAAATGATGCTGCTGAGCGTCTCTCTCAAAAAGAGAGTGGCCGCTGGGATGAATTCCTCAAGGAAACTGAGATCAGATCCGGTTATAATATGAACCGTCCAATTTTTGAAACAGCGTCAATGGCGGCACAGCTGCTTCAGGGACAAGCAGTTGTTCCTATGCAATTAGTTGCACGTGTACCTGCTGCTTTGTTTTATTGGCCATTGATTCAACTTGCTGGTGCAGCAACAGATAATATTGCATTGGGTGTCGCCGTTGGAAGCAAAGGAAGAGGGAACCTTCCTGGTGCCACGTCAGATATTCGGGCTACCCTTCTGTTGCTTCTAATTGGTAAATGCACTGCAGATCCTGCTGCTTTTCAAGAAGTTGGTGGAGAAGAATTTTTTAGGTGAGCTTATGGTTGTTTGCTTCCTAATAATGAATTTGCCTTGTGATTATGTGCAAACATGTCAAACATCTGTACACTTTCTGCTTTGGCAGGGAACTTTTAGATGATACTGATTCGAGGGTGGCATATTATTCTTCAGCTTTTCTATTGAAGGCAAGAATGCTTTCCAATTTTCCCTCATCCAATTATTATTTTTAACATGGTTCCAATTTCAATCACTTGCTTACCTCATTCAAGCGTTGAATGTTGCAGAGAATGATGACAGAGAAACCTGAGAAGTACCAGCACATGCTGCAGAATCTCGTCTTTAAGGCTCAGCAGGTACGCCCTTATTTACTGGGTTGTGCAAGTTTACGAAATTGTAATGATGGAACGCTGAGAAATGAATGCATTTTCTAACATCTTACAGAGATGAATGCATGTCTGTGCGTATATTTTGTCATACTTGTATAAATCCTGCATGTGCAATATGAGTTTGAAAAAAGTTTGAGGCTCTGGATCCGCCATTTTACAGAGATTGCATGGTTTAGGGAGATTTCAGGTGGTTGTGGTTCACTTTCTTTGAGCTCACATGTTAAGAAATAGTCAGTAATGGTCAGCATCTATATTAGTGTTTTTCTACTTAGGTGTATTATGAACATCTATATTGCCATATGGTTGTGGTTCAATTTCTTTGAGCTCACGTGTTAAGAAATAGTCAATAATGGTCAGCATCTTTACTAGTGTTTCTCTAATTAAGTGTATTATGTTGCCATATGGTTGGCTACTATTACACCATTAAGATTTCTAAGAGAACACTGTACGAAGTGCCCATGCATAAAGTACAGGAACATCAGTTTGAATTTGTTTTATCTAATGAAGTTCCCAAGTTTATCCATCACAGATGTGATAACAGAATTACATGTCACTAACATGTGATTACTTTGTGCTTTTTAACAGAGCAACAATGAAAAACTGTTAGAGAATCCGTATCTTCAGATGCGTGGCATACTTCACCTGTCAAATGATATCTGAGCTCGGTTGCAATCTGATTTTCAATTTTGTAAGTACTTTGTTCTTGATGTGGAAACACTGCAATGGGTAATTCAGAGTCTATCACTCCAACAGTTGTGACCTATCCCGTGGCTGGCAACATTTGGCCAAATTTTGATAAAACCTTGGTGGAATCTGCTTAAGTTTGCAAGCATGCTTAATTAGACAGTGTGGAATCTGATTCTTGAAGGAAAAATACTGAATTGAAGTCCAAAAAGTGTGTGGTTCAGATCCCCATCTCCCAAAGAAGCCAAGGTTGTAAGATGAGGTGCATATATGGGTGATGCTAGCAAAAATTCTCTGTGCCATAGGTGCAGCAAATCAGCTGTCAGTGCCTCTCTATAGTTCCAGCAGGATAATGGAAGCGATCAGATAGATGTTTGCTTCCCTCATCCTCTTTACATTGAAGTAGATCATTGCAGTACTCTTTTATTTGTTAAAAGATATCAAGTTTGGCTTTTCATCTGAAGCTTTCAGGTTGAAGGCTTGTTATTTAAAGGTTAGCCAGTGTAGTAGACATCTCCGAACTTTTTGGAGTAATTGGTTAGCTTCGATCGTCATGCTATACATTGCAGATCAAGGCAATTCATGTATCTTAAGGTAATTGTTTCTTTTTCTTCTTGGGCTAGACATCTATCTATCTGTGCTTGTGACATCTTATTGTTAACATATTTTCTTGTTAGTACCAAGTCACTGCCTTTATTAGTTTGTGGGTGAATATTTAAAGATGTATGTGTTTAATGCTTGTAAAACATTTTGAATGGTCAAATATTATCCGTGCCAAGGTCTAAAGTTATGCTCTAAAATCCTTCTTACACCTTACGGCCATAAATAAATCTCATTAAAATTTAAGAAATACAATTGTTTTTTCACCATTTTGTTATAAGGACCTGCTAGTGAAAAACAATTCATGCTATGCTTTCGTTTTACTAATATTTTTTTTTTTTTTTTTAAATTTTTTGTCCTTCGTGTGGAAGCAGTAATCAGGTGTGCATTACATTGACAGAAGACATTTTGGGCAACCACGGAAAACCCTTAACCTGTACAGAATCAGATTTGCTCTTAACCTTCTATTAGTTCTGTAATTTTTGAGGGACGTTAATGCTGGCTCTTTTTTGTCATGGCCATCCTTCAATAATAAAAAAACCTCGAGATTTTTGTGTACTCAAAGGCTGTTCAGTTTCATGTTTGTGATGAAAACAGACTGAGGATTACGTATGTTTAGCGGATAGGACTTCATCGTTAGGGCAAGCAAGCGGGGGTGTCTGATTTTAGTGGCATCCTCAAAGTGTGCCTGGTATGTGTTTTTTTGGTCTTTATGTTCATTATTTTTTTCTCCTTGTAAATGTGTAAACGTAATTTTACCTGTCTTCTCTTCCGTTGTAAATTGCTGACGAAATATCTTCTTTATATACAGCCGGTTATATTACACTAACAACTTTCTCTCACAAATTTTATTTTATAATTCTGATGTGGTAATTCGTAATTAATCAGTTTACAATAGGTTTTACATGGGTCTTGTATAGGTCCTATTAATCAATTGCGAACTGACTAATTACGATTTGTTACGTTAGAATTGTTAGAGAAAACTTGTGAGAAGTGGTTATTAGTGTAATATTATTCTTTCAATGAGTGGAGAACACATTTTTTTTCTCTTTTAATTTTTTGTATCTAGTATGGGAAGGTTTATTTCGGCATTATGAGGATCAGCACATATAACGTTCGCTGATACAGATGGATCTCGCGTTTTCTGACATAAAATTCTTGATCTTTATGGGTGGGTGCGCTTTTACGCCTAATTTCAATTTGTTCGATTTAATAAATTACGCTCGCAGGATTAATTTGTGGCCATACTGATTCCACAATGTCCATGTACATCTATTTGAACCTTAAAGTTTTAAACAGGTGCTGGTAGCAGGACGTATATATACTTTTTGCAACTTAAGACTACAGGAGACGAATATTTCATTCAAGAACAGTTCGTGTCTCCCTTTTAAGATTTAACTGTAAATGCCCTCATTAGTTTTAATAAAGGAATCAACTCGCTCAAAACATGTTTTAAATTTTATTCTACCTCCACACCTTACAGCTACAGCGAACTTTTTATCCCCTAACCCTCAAGGTACAAACTGTAGCAACTCTAAAGATACTATATACTTTTCGACTGTGTTTTGATACCCGACCCGATTCGGTTGGTTGAACTGATTCAAGTGAGACCTAGGGCCTTTGTCAAGCGGGGTATTACTTTCAACTATTCACCTTAAACCTTAGAATTATGGAACTCGGCGAACATACGATGGCAATTATGTTGGGGTTTTTAGAGAGGAAGTGTCGATGAATCCAAAGGCGATGAAGGGAGTGATTTCTGATGGCGATGAAGGGAGTGATTTCTGATAAGTGAATCGACCAAAAAAGGCAAAAATCAATCGACCAAAACAATGATCTGTTTTCGACGATTGGCGAAGCAAACGGGGGAGGGATGAGATGCTTTTTGGTCAGGAGGCTGAGAAGAGTGTTTTCATGGTGATGGGGAATGTTGTCGTCACCAAAAATCGACTCTATTTGGCTTGGGTTGTCCACAACAACGTGGTGTTTAAGGTGTTTTTACAAGATTTCAAACTTGTAAGGACTTCTATGTAAGTTTCAAGGGTATCTTTGTTGAATTTCAAACATTTGAACATCGGTTTGACCCACCGGTCAACCTGGGATCCGACCACTTTGCTAGGTTTCAACCTGGGTTGGTTACTAAAACATTGCTTTTCGGATCATATATATATATATATGTAGAGAGAGAGAGAGAGAGAGAGAATCCAGATTGTTAAACAAAATGCCAGAACTAAGGAATTCATCAATAGCTCGGCCAAAATTATACATGCAAAAACTATCTAAAGGGGAAAATCAGCAGCCCAAATGTAGAGTTATACTATGTCGATTACGTGTCCACTCTAAAAAGTGTGCTGCTAAGATTATAGCAAATAACCAGGAGGCTTACTCCTCTGTATTCGCCTTGTCTAAACATATAGCCCCGTATACATTGATAAAACTAATTACGCTGACAAATTTGCAAGAACAAGTGACATCACTTTACTCTCATAGCTTCTAAGTGGTATTTGTCCAACTCAGCATCAAGATCTTCTTTAGTTACCATCTTACCATGGTTATTCCCTTGTCCACCACGGCTAGCAGCAGGTCCTCGACCTCCGCCAGTACCATAAGCACCATATACCCTTTCCTTCCCACCAACACTGTTTGACCATTGTCCATAAAACGATTATAAAACTGGTAAGTATGGTTATAAAAGTGAATGATACCAGATGAAGGACATAAGCTTAGAAACCGAGCAAAACAAATGTTCCCTAGATAAGGTGTATAAAACACAATATAAATAACATTTCTCTCTTTTTTAAAAAAAAAAAAACAGTTATAATTCTCATCCAGTACGACCCCAGCTTTACCAAGGAACGTGATAGAGCTCTTTCTAACATTCATATTCTTTTCCTCTTTCCATCAGGTTATTGGAAGCTCTGCACTATGTAATCCTAAACACCTTATGGATCAAAATTGCAACATTGGTTGGCTACTCATGCATCAATGTAGGCATGCCAACATAGGTATATCTTGCAAATTTACTTGCGTAATTATAGTTAACCTTTTGCTATTCTGCAGAGGTTTTAAAATGCAACATTCAAAGACACAGACAAAGCAGCTATGAAAATTTTAAATGAAAAAGAAAAAACAAATCATAGCATATACTACACACTCAAAATAAATACGATGGTGATTGGAAAATAGTTATCATCCAATCACTAGATGAATCCAGAAGACACCATTAATATTTTATACCTTATAAAGCCACGATTAAGATTTTCCAAAATGCGAGGATTAGTTGGAACCACAGGATCAGAAGCAACCATATGAACTCCCATAAGCTCAATTTTGATTGGCTTCCCGTCAAGGAAATTGTTGTTGTACCTTTTGATAGCTGCTAGAGCATCTGCCTGGCGACAATACACAACTTCCGCGGTTCCCTAAAAGAAGCACCAATTCAAAGCGATGCCAGAGACATGAAATTTCAAAGAGGCTAGAACCTAAAACTGAGAATGTACCTTTGATCTTCCACTCTTGTCATAATGGATTGAATGCTTTTTCAACTCACCAACTTCAGAGAAGAGTAACTGCAAATAGCAGAACACAAGTTAATCATGTATCCACGGTGGTTTACTCTTGCAAATCACATGACTTCAACTATTGCCATGAAAATTGTAACAAAATAACAAAATGAAATCATTACATGTAGATGGATAATCACAGAAGATGCAATGCTGCTCTTAAACTCACTTCCTGGGTATGAAACATGATGAGGTGATCATATTAAAGGGGCAGCCATGAGAAATTATGTACAACAAAAAATTTAAAATAGTTCCAACAAATTTATTTTCAACAGAGACTTCTATACAAAAGCATTAAATGCTTTTAAATGTAGATGGATGATCAATAAATGACCTTTTAAATGCTTCTACATAAATTATTTCCAATACTGAATATTTTCTACCAAAACATTTTCTAGGTACGTCAAAGTTGCCATTTCCACTGTAATTTAAACTAACAACACAAGGCAGAAATGCATCACAGTATAACAATTAAAAACACGCACAAGTGAAGAAACAAAAAGTTACACAAAAGAGCATATAGATTAATAATAATATGACAATAAAAATACCATAATATAACCCAATATTTTGATACCCACCAGAATATCATCATTAGTAACACCATAGTGTAAGTTTGATAATAAAGTTTCGTCCCTGTTTCTATGTTAATCACTCCACCTGGCATCATTTGCTTCTGCACCGTCATTGCTTGCATTTGCTTCATTGTATTCAGAATAACAAACAAAACAAAAACGCATTTCAATACAGCCCATAGGCATTTAGACATTAGTTCGTTTTATGAAAGAGCTACATATATAAATCACTTCACAGTAAACTTTTATCAAATATTATTTTGAATGTCATAAAAACACGTCAGAGAAACGAGATTTATATACGGATTAAAATAAAATAAAAAACCCACAAGTAAAAAGCACTTTTGAGTAGCTTAAAAGAACTCCATCAAAAACAGTGAAAATATGTGGATAAAATGGGGAAAAATAAATATAGACGTGTTTGGTGGTATAGAAAGTCATGGAAAAGAAAACAAACCAAATCTTAACGACCGTGTTTGGCTAACGAAAAAAGAAAACCGGTTTTTTCTTTATTTGATCTGTTTTTCAGTTTCGCTTTAGAGAAGCAAACAAACACGGTGACCAAGAAGAAAAAACAGCCATAAATTTCACACAGCAGTTAAACGTCAACTCTTGGTTGAAACAGAAGCCTCACTTGAGCTGCTGGATACGGCATCGTTCTAGTCAAGTTGCGAGGGTGAGCTCGACGGTTCGGGCCAGTGCTAGGGCCGAGGACAGAAACGGAAACGGAAACTTTTCCGCGGGAATTACGTTCGTGTCCTCCGGATCTCTTGTTTTTACGGATGATTTCATCCAGAGACAGGTCCAAAGAGCTGGACATTTTCGGTAAAAAAAAAAAAAAAGAAAAAAAAAAGAGAGAGAGAATATTTTCGACAGTAGGAGCTGCTAAGTTGGTAGTAGAGTTTGCAGAGGTTTTGAAGAGGGTGGTTTTTGCAGTGTGAGGAGAAACGGAAGGTTGGGGGCCTGGGGCACTGAAATTTCGCCCTACGCGCCCCGACTCTTGACACGTAGAGTAATAATATGGAATGTCTTTTTTTATAAATTATTTTTAATATTTAGAAATAGAGAAAACAACCTTTTCCCCCCCAAGGTTTGCCTTAACAATTTTCCACTCAAAAAGTTTCAAAATACTACTTTTCCACCCAAAAAAGTTTCAAAATATCGCTTTTCCACCCTAAAAGTTTCAAAATACCACTTTTCCACCCAATGTTTATATTCCGACCAATCGGCGACCAGTTATAGCATCTTTGCGACCCTAAAACACCACAATTCTCTTTCCCAATCATCACTCACCAAAACTTGTCAAATCTTGCTCCCGCACATCTTGTTAATCACTAGCAATCGAGCGATTTGTAAAACGCGCAGCCACCCCCCACAAGTCAGATTCCGACCAATCTCGACCACCAAAATCTAACCTACCACCACCAAAAGACTCACCAGCATTCCCTCTTCAAAAACCTCAATAGTTTGGACTAAGTTTGCTCTCCGTTAGCCGTCAATTGAAAAGTATATTCTGGATAGTAAACAGAATATAAACTTTGGGTGAGACAGTGGTGTTTTGAAATTTTTTGGGTGAGAGAGGTCATTAAGACAAACCTTGAGTGGGTTAAAGTCGTTTACTCTTAGAAATATGATATTTTATATTGTTCTTTGACTCACTTTTCTTTA